AACTCCTTGGGCTTACAGTTACTCCACCTCAATCCTGCGGGGAGCGTGAATGTATGTGTATCGTCGATGCTCCTTTCGGGAAGACTCCCGATTATCCTGGGTTTGAAATAGTTGCCTGCTACGGTTGACTTGCTCACAGCGATCCTCTCAGTAAGGTTCGCTGCTGATCAGGACGATCCACCTAAAGCGATTGAAGAATTTCAGGAAATCGCTTCGGTGAAAATTATCGACCAAGGCCGTTCAAAACACGCCAGAGAAGTTCTCGAAACTTGGCACTCCTCAATCAACAGGCACATTGAACTGGATCACGTGTACATCCCAATGGAACTGAAAAATCAAATGACGCAACAAAAAGGGTCACGCCGTGACCTGAGAACGGGCCGAAACCGCAATCAGGACGGATCGACATTCACCCCTATCAATCTCCCCCACGCACCAGTTTAACGGCGAACACAATAAGAACAAGGGACGCAGTTGGTCGGTGGAAAAGAACACATATAAACGAACGGATACAAGCAGAAGACTGCCACTTCACAAGCACTGATGATGTCACCTCGACTGGTGATGAAACGTTTGCAAACAAACTGCCAAGTTCGGCTAAACGGCGAAACAGAACAGAGTGGCGTTTGACAAGGTTGCCCTCTCTCTCTCCGTTTCTACTTAACTTTGTCATAGATTTAATTTCCGAAACAGTCTCATCCTCGTGCGACGATAGCGGCATCGATTGACTCCCGGGTGGCAGACTGTCTGATCTAGAGTTTGCAGATGACATTGTGCTACTAAGTGAAGATCCAGGTATGTTACAAGCTTTTCTGGATAGTTTGAGTGCTAGTGTTGCCATGTTCGGTATGCTTTTTGCACCTTCCAAGTGTAAAATGCTACTACAGGATTGGGTTGATCCAGCACCCAGTCTCACCCTAACTGGGGAAGTAGTAGAGGAAGTAGACAAAATTTGCTATCTGGGTAGCTATATCTCACCCGGCGGACGCATCACAGATGAAGTGTCGGCGCGCATTCAAAAGGCTCGATTATCATTTGCCAACTTGAGACATTTGTGGCGCCGTCGCGACATCCGGCTGTCTGTGAAGGGTCGAGTATATGTTGCAGGAGTTCGACCAGTGCTGCTTCACGGTGCGGATACTTGACCACTAAGGGAACAGGATAAAATTAGATTGTCTGTGTTCGAACATCATTGTTTACGTTGCGTTGCGGGAGTCTGGTGGGGTAACCGGACTAGCAATGCTGACTTTAGGTGTAGAGTTCTACGTAATCGTAGTCGTCCACCGGAGTAGGTAGTCGACCTTCATGGATTACGCTGGTTGAGGCATGTTTTATGCATGTCACCAGATAGGTTGCCACTTCGAGTGATGTTTTCGGGGGCAGGTAGCGATTGGAAAAAGATCAAGGGTTGTCAAACTAAGAACTGGCATGAGAGTATAAGAACCTCGACCAGGAGAATAGTTCAAATACCTCCCGTTAGGTTGCTTATCTGGGGACCGCGAAATCATGGTCACCAATGGTTAGGGACACTGAATGATATGGCTGGGTGTCGCAAACAGTTGCGCTTGTGCATCTGCTCATTATTCTTGTAACTCCAGTCTACATAAATGAACTGTCTTCCGCTTGAATCTCCTGTCAATGTTCTAACCTTCATTCTGCTGTTTTATCTCAATGCACAACCAAAACTGGCGCACGAAGGTGCATAGTTAATGGTTGCAAGAACACTATACATATACATAATTTTTAGACTATCAAGCTTGGATTACCCCATTCTATTGTTTAAAAGCACCAGGCACTCTTGATGGACTTGGGTGTGGGTTTCACTCCTCGGGAGATCGTCAATTCCCCACTGGTTGAATGCATTTAAATGGGATAACAGTGCATACTTTTTGTGTCCCTGTCGACCGTGTAGCTCAGGGGTAAGGGTTTGAAGTTCCGACCCAACTGTTTGCGGTTCGAGTCCCGACAGGGACACAAAAGGTATGCGCGTCTGATGCGTCCCAAACGGGATGAAACAGCTTTCCAGTGCTTCCTGTCGGTTACCACGAAGATTTCCATCGCATTTAAATACGTATACGATGTTTTCATGTTTTAATCCAGTTATGAATATGGCATTTTAACTTCAGCCTTTATTTTTGTAGGTTTTGAAATGTTGAAGCAAGCTGCCGGTGCTGGTGCTATTTCACTCAAAGGTTCTTCCGATATTCTTGTTGATTACTTCTGTAAGTTTCCATGTTGGCGACGATTTTGATTTGATAGTTTATGCTGTTAACAGCATTCTGTATCAACGTGGAGTCTATCCTGAGGCCTCGTTCAAGAAGGATGTTCAGTATGAATTGAGCATGTTAGTTGCCGCGGATGAAGGCTTGATTAATTATCTGAAGACAATTTTAGCACAGCTGAAAGGTAAACGAAATTCCTCACTTTGGACATGCTGGTTCCATCTTGCCCTCACTCCAGAATGGATAATGGCAGGATCACTTCAGAAGCTCGTGTTAGTAATCAAGTGTGTGAAGACGGAAGAAGTATTGGAAAGGTGGCAATTTAACATCATCTGCGAAACACCGGATTCATCTGGGTACGGTCTGTCTTTGTTCATACATACTCCTTGGCAGAGGTAAACAGACGAATAAATCTTTGAGTGAGATCCAAGAGGAAATTCGGCATGTAATACGGCAAATTGTCTCGATAAATACGGTTCTACCTGTTCTGAACAGTACATGTACGTTCAATCAACTGATGAATAGCATCTCACTCTTTTGCGAAACGCTGTATCATTTATGTACTTTATTTCGGTTCTCTCTTGAGAAAAGATAAACGTCCTAATCCGCAGGACTTTAGAAATGGCTAGGGTTCGCAGTATAGCA